AGTAGACACAGTTATGGACACAGAACAGAGCACTTCATATCCCGCAGAGTTTCTAAATTCTCTAGAGTTGTTAGGTGTGCCCTCACATAAGCTTCAATTAAAATTAGGCGTCCCAGTCATGCTATTGCGAAATTTAGATGCTCCTCGGTTATGTAACGGGACAAGGCTGCTACAATTTTGACAGGCGTAGGAAAAGGTGAAAATGTTATTATACCACGGATCCCTATAATTCCCACAGTTCTTCCTTTTCAATTCAAAACGTTGCAGTTCCCTATTAAGCTCAGTTTTGCAATGACAATTAATAAAGCGCAAGGGCAAACGTTACAGGTAGCGGGGGTCAACTTAGAAACACCGTGCTTCTCTCATGGTCAAATGCACAGAATCTCCACATTCTTTCCCCGAATGGAAAAACATATAACATTGTGTACAGTAGCGTCTTAAAATAGTGTTGAGTTAGTTTTTTTTTCCAAAATTCCCACAATCAATTAATCAGAATTCCCACAGATCTTCCCTTTCAATTCAAAATGTCCTATTTAGCTCAGTTTCTTTTCAATTCCAAATGCTGCACCTCTGACGGACCTATTAAGCTCAGTTTCCTTTCAACTCAAAAGGCTGCATCTCTGACGGATCTTTTATTTGGCTCAGTTTCCTTTCAATTCAGAAAACTGCATCTCTGACGAATCAATTTAGCTCAGTTTCTTTTCAAAAGTCTGCATCCCTGACGGATAATTATACTCAGTTTCCTTTAATTAAAAAAATATCCATTTCTATTTGGAATAAACAGGCTATTTTCATGCTTTCCTATACGCTGCGTTCCAAAACATTTAAATAGGCTGACGAATCAATTTTGCTCAGTTTCCTTTTAATGGATGCATCTCTGACAAATCTATAAAACTCAGTTTTCTTTCAATTCAAAAAGGAATGGATAGTTCATTTCCCTCTGACCATGCGGGTGAAGCCGCGGGTAACAGCTAGTTATAACCATATGAATGTACGTGAAGTTCAACAACAAGCGCTGGAGTACCGGGCGGGATCTTCTTTGCTCCAAATCCCTCTTAGAATTAAGAGAAGACCTGCGAAAATTGTTAGTCATAACAATTTTTTGTTAATATTTATAGTTAACTAATAGAATACAGCCACATAAAAGACAAGGAGCATATTGATAGTAGTAATATTGATTTTTCGAGTTATAAAAATTGATTTTTACGTATTTTCAAAAGTATTAATCGAATATTTTAATTTTTTCGTTTGTTCATGATTACTTACTAAACCGCTTCTGATATTAAAAAAGTAATGTATTCAAATTTCATGTAGTTTAATATTTGGTAAACAATACAGGTGGTAAAATTATAAATTTAGTACAACGGGATTCAGTACAAATAAAATGAGAATATCATCACTGTACTCAAAGTCAATTAAATACGCATTATTAAGGATAACTCAAAAACTAATAATCAGATCTTGATCAAAGTATGGGACCACATGAGAAGCACCATCTTTTAAATAACTCAATCATTAAAATTGGTTCACCTAACAAAAAGTTCTGAGGCACATAAAAAATACAGTCGATTTGACCAACAGTCAAAAGACAGAAAGTCGGTTGAAAAAAACTTCAATATTTATTGTACATAGCATAGTTTAAAAGTCGAAGCCGGACTTAATCTAAGTAATTTTTTATAACATTAGCACAAACGGGCACACAGTCCATCTGATGGTAAGTGGATGCTATGGCCTATAGACATCCACATTTATCCTCAATTAAGAATCAAAATGCACTTATTCCTTATGCCTCGACCCCAGCAGCATTACGCTGCTATTTTGTGAGAGTGTGGTATTTCCCCGGTCGATTCGGTTCATTCGTATTACAACCATAATATAGCTGCAGCGTGGCGCTACCACGTAAGAAAGCCGACTACAACTAGGTGCACCGGTTACGTTTCGGTAAACTAACGTGTATTCGATTTATTCACGGCTAAAACTACACATGATAAGTCTACTTGAAGCAAAAATTGAATTCCGATTCTGCCGACTTGATCGAGTTTGCAGCGTTATGTAAACTTGAACGCGTGTATGAGCGGTCAAGTACGCATGACGTTCGTCGGAGCAATAAGCGAGAGACGCCATGGTTTCAACTGGAGTGAACGTGAGTAGTCTATATGGATGCGCTGCAAATTGCCGTTTCAATCGCGCTGCAAACTTAATGGTAATCTGGATCGAGTATGGCATCCATGATAGCCGTACACCGTCCCGAACGCCGCCACTTCAAGCGCGTGAAGAATCGTGTATGGCCTCCATTACGGCTAAACTTAATTATAGTAAAGTCTGAATAATCATTAAAATGATTGTGACTCCTATTAACTTCATCAAAAATAGCACCGAGTTTTAGCTGGCTAAATCTAAGTGTAACTAGCACTTCTGCTTTTAGAGTTAATGTATACACAATTCGAAAATATCACAAGCATAATAAGTATGTATGTCAATTTTTTATGAAATAAAGGTGATAGATGAGCACACAGTTTACCTGATAGTAAGTGGATGCTGTGGCCCATAGACTACATCTATCCTCGATTAAGGATCAAAATGCGGACGTGTTATCACCCCAAAGGACTTCGATGTAATGCCTCATTTCCTATAAAAACGGTCTTCGGTTCTCTACACTCACCATACTAAACACTGCAGCATTAAGGTGCTATTTTACGCTGGTATTCTGTGAGAGCATAGTCCTTTCCCGGTCGAGCTGACTCATTCGTGCTAAAACTATAGTATAACTGCAGCGTGGCTCTATTACGTAACAAGTGTAATATTTACGAATAATATAAACATCGTAGAAGCAGGTGACATTATTTCAACATGTTATTTTGGGTCGTGTGAATTGACAATGAGTTAGTTTATAGTCTTATAATGCAGATTAACTTGCGCAAAATCACACAACGCAGCGATGCGGAGAAAGGAGACGAGCCTTTTTGTGCTGACCGCTTGATCTCCGTAAACTTGTACAGAGGTATATTCGGTGCAAAACATTTTTGATGTATGAACCATGTAACATTACCGTCACCGTGATTGTTTCGGCGGAAGGTTTTTAAATTAAGTATCAAATTATATAACAAGTAATACAATTTTACAAGTTTTACTTTCGCGATTGTTTAATCTACATAAAATGGCATTAAAATTAAAATTAAAGTTAGATTGAAGGTTTTATCTAAGTAGGATTTATTACCTGTCACACATTTGAAAATTATAGTTAAAAAAAAACTTGATCTTGAAAGTTGGAGGTTGTTACGTGGAGGGGCCACTGCAATATTTTGTGGCTGCAACGCGAATGAGTTGATTAGGCTTGGGTAAAAAAATATCTATATATCGAAATTTCGATATTTTCTCAAAAAAATATCGATATAAAAAAAATATATATATATATATATATATATATATATATATATATATATATATATCGTCTATATTTTTAATCGCGATATATCGATATTCGTTATTTATTTCAGAGTATCAAATTCATATTAATTTAGATTTTTTTTAAAAGTATTAATCGAAAAAACGTTAAGCAACAAAATATGACGATCTATCGATATTTATCACGCGATACGTATCAATACTGTTCGATACTTGTTTAAAAATATACATTCGATATATATCGATGTATTTTTTCACTTGCAAATCTCTAGGCTCGGCTCGATCGGGGTCGTACCGCACGCCCAGATAATACTAGCGCGAAATAGTAACATAACACTGATGTGTTTCGTTCGCTGAGTTACTTAAGACGTTTTTTACCGGTGGTAACGAGGCATTCCATCTAGGAGCTACGACATCCACGCTCTATCCAGAGGACTACATACCCGTTATTTTCTCTTACGTTTATAAAAAAGACAGTTGAATGGAATAATTCACGGCAAATTAAACACATTTTGTTTAATTATGTTTTATTTACCATATTTAATATATTTTATGCAGAAGCACGAGAGTAGAATAAATGCAGTAGAAATGCGGTTGCTATGAGGCAGTCGTATGTTAGGGCTGAATCTGAGTGACAGGGTGAGAAATTGTGTGATAAAAGAAGCGTGCGGTTTGCAAGATGATGCTGTGACCAGGTTTAAGAAAGGAAAGCTTCGGTGGTTTGGTCATGTAGAAAGAATGAATGAGGAAAGAGTGAAAAAGCAAATTTAAGTTGCAGAAGTGAACGGAATAGAAAGGGACGTCCTAGGCGAAAGTTTATCGACCAAACTGGCGAATATATATATATATATATATTGAAAATGGGCCAATTAAGAGTATCCTTAACCGATGAGGATGTATGCGTAGGTATATGAATGTGGAGGAGGCGAGAGAGATGTGTCAGGATCGTGCCAAATGGAAATCTGTAGTCTCTGCCTACCTCTCTGGGTGACAGGCGTGAGTTTTTATGTATATGACTTAGGTACACTGTATTTAACACATATGTTTCTCCCTTAAATTTAATTTATATTGTAGTAGACTAGCGATCAACCCGGGCTTCGCACTGGTGACTTCTGTATTTCGACAACAGCGTCGTCTACCTGGTGCAATTGCGAATCTTAGCCATCCAGGTATCCACTGAAACACACAAAAATATCATTGAAGTCGGTCGATCTTGTTCACGGCAATTGATTATATATATATATATATATATATATATATATATATATATATATATATATATATATATGAAAATATATATATTTATTATATATATATATATATATATATATATATATATATATATATATAAAGATATACATTTGCTTTATTTGTAAAGTGATATTTTTATATCAATAAGTCATCACGAAGAGTCAATCAATCACATTAATTAACCTCCCATCAAGGGTTGATATTATCGTTTAATGGAGTATTTAACGACAGCCGTTTAAGTGCAGCCCTAGTTTTAAAAGGTTAATACAGCATTAGCTGACTGAATTTTGAACAATATTTACGAATAAAGAAACACATTACAGCTAATTTCTAAAAAGTCGACAATGTATTCAAATTCGCAACTTTACCGGCGTGGATACAGAAGGAAAGCAAAACCGAATGAACTTAATATTATCAAAGAGAGCGCCAAGGCAGTAGGTAAAGAGTATTGCATTGAGGCATCGATTAACGGGCTGAAGCATCTAGTTGATGACAATACGTCATGGCTAGAACGGTACGTATTTATTTACCTCTTTAGTACCTATTAATGAGGTACCTAAGTCTCTAAAGTTCGCTGTACTATTATTTAGTTAGTTAGTATAGTTTATTTCGATAGTGGCTTAGTCTAGTTTGTCTTGCGTGCTTGCCTTACATCATGGAGGACCAGTCGCGTTATGTAACGTAGATTATATTATGGTATTGCGACAGAGAAATTTAGGTATACCCATATTTGTATTGTAATTATTGGCTCTGATTCGTAAAAAGCTTAAAATGAATATGTAAATTTATAATACGTAATAATTAAGGATAGCTACATCGATAAAAAACTCCGAAAGGTCCAAACTAGATCCCATATAATTCTCAATTTTATTTTATAGTTGCATAACTGTATTTGTCACACTCATTATTTTTTGATTTAATGTTCATACCGATTAATTGATTAAACGAATCAGAGTACGAAACCTATCCAAATGCAGAGAGGTGTAAGACAGGGTGACGTTATATCCCTGAAACTCTTCACCACTGCATTGGCAGGCGTTTTCAAGCTACTGGACTGAAGCATACGGTATTAACATCAATGGCGAGTACATCACTCACCTTCGATTTGCTGATGATATAGTCCTTATGGCAGAATCGATGGAGGACCTAAGCAGTGGCGTAGCTACCTTGGGGCTAGGCGGGGCAGTGCCCCGGGGCCCCCAAGCTCAAGGGGCTCCTCAGCCTTCATGAACGACGTTTGACAAAATTGTACAAATAATATTGTAATTGAATTTAAAAAGAATCGATTTTTTACTTTTAGGGCCCTGAGAAACAAACCACAAAAATGTCTTCCACCTTCAGAATATTAAACATCATTGTTAAAATGAAATTGTCTACTTAGTTTTATTGTCTAAATAGCTGTATTATTAACTGTACTCTACTTCGTCATTGTTTATTTTACTAGCCCGCGACTTGGTTCACCTATAATTATGGACCAACATTGAAAATTCCTTCCTTTATTAAAATGACCCTTTTCTCGGGCTGAAACGGTGATGACGAGATGAAACGTCGTGCATGTGCTTTCATCCAAATCCATAAAGTAGTTTTTATGTGAAACCGTAACAAACAAGCAAACTTTCACGTTTATATAAAATTACTAGTAACCCGTATAAAAAAGCACTGTTCATAATAATTCAAAGATAAATATTTATGGTTACGGTTAGTCAAATTTAGGAGATAAATATATTATTATACTAGCGTGGAGTTTTAGTCTAGACTTTTTGAAGAACTACGATTCCTTAGTACATTATTTTAATGTATCTCTTTAAAGTTTAGCGATTTTTTGACGACTTATAAATACCAAATATTGAACACTTTTTATTGTTAAAAGTTAATTAGAATGTATTATACATACTAAAATTGCGAAAATAAATCTCTAAATGGCAGTGAAAAACGTTTTCAAAATCCGTTGCGTGGTGATTGCGTAGTTTAAAAGAAGTAAGTAGGTAAAGGGTTGCTTTAAAAAAATCGAAAACTACTCATACATTTATTTTATCAACAGAGTAGAGTACTCAACAGTCAATCACCCCGTAAAATAAAATGTATCGTGCAAACTGTAACACCTTTTTTCATACCCTGAGGATTTGAATTTTTCAAAATTTTATCGTAGTTACGGCTACCAGATCCGAAAAATCCCTAACTTTTCCTTAACGAGGAGGCAGCAAAAATACCTAATTATAAATAAAACTCTCGCATGTGCTTGACATCATTTGCGCAATATTCAGCAATAAAAAGGACTAGCCAGATCATATGAATGAAACAATGTTATTGTTGAGATTGGATTCATTTATTGTAATTTTTTATTTTATGCTTAAACTGTTTAAGAAATATTTTAATTTGTACTTTTTATATTTTTCTCTTTCTATTTATAAATTCCTAAGAGTTTCAAATTTTCCCTGTTTCCCTAAAAGAGGGCTAAAATTCCGGACATGTCAGGAAAATTCCTGTCATCTGGTAACCCTAATCGTAGTTAATGCCTACCTCGTTATTAGGAAGACGCTGCTGCCCATCTCCAGATTTGTTTCCCACGGTCACCTCTTACGACAGCCTCGGGATGATATGAGGTAGTGGATATGCTTGCATCGCCACTACAAGGTAACGACTCTCTTACTAAGGGTTGAATTTTCCGAAATTCTTTCTTAGTGGATGCTTACGTCATAAAAGGCAGCTACTGTCAGATTTCTACGTCTAGTTTTTTGGGATGAGCGTCATGATATAATATTTTTCATACAAACTTTGCACCCCCTTTTTAAGTCCCTAAGGATAGATTTTTGAAGAAACTAAAAATGTGAAATTTATTATTTTTAATTCCAGTGTGACTTTCATATTTAAAAAAAAAAGTTATATATTTTTCTCTGGTCCCTTTGTAGGTAATGGATTATTTTCAGAAGCACTAAACCCGTATCCATTTATTTCACTTTTGTATAGAAAAAGGGTGACAAATGAGCACACAGTTCACATATGTATTTATCCATAGACATATGTATTTATCCTCAATTAAGAATCAAAATGCAGATACGTTGTCACCCCTGAGCTAAGATGTAATGCCTCGTTTATAGTAAATAATGTCTCCGGTTCTCTACACTCACCATAGCAACATCACGCTGGTATTCTGTGAGAGCGTGGTCCTGCATCTGTCCAGCCGACCTATTCGTGCTACAATCATAATTATAGCTGCAGCGTGACTTTGACACGTAATATACAGATTACCTTTAGTAAGTTTCAAGTCAATCGCCCCGTAAAATAATAAGTTTCATACAAACTGTATCACCCTATTTCATTCCCTTAGAGGTTGAATTTTCCTTTACCATTTTTTAGTAGAGTAACTGACTTTTATAACGTAGGCAACGTTATAAAAGGCAGTTACTGTCCCATTTTCAGATTTCTACATATAGCGGTTTGGGCTTAGAATGGATGAGTTAACCGTCAAATGCCTTTTGTACGCCGATGATTAAGCCATACTTGCGTCGTCGGCGGCCGAGTTGCAAATGATTGTTACAATAATGAACAGGTCATTTAAAGAAAGGGGAATGAAAGTGAATGCAAGTAAGACGAAAGTTATGGTTTTTGATAGAGAAGAAAGTAAAACGATATGTGAAATAAGAATAGAAGGGGAGATGGTCGAGCAATTAGAAGAGTTTATACGTATTTGAAAATGGGACAGTAACTGCCTTTTATAACGTTGCCTACGTTATAAAAGGCATTTACTGTCCCATTTTCAGATTTCTACATATAGCGGTTTGGGCTTAGAATGGATGAGTTAACCGTCAAATGCCTTTTGTACGCCGATGATTAAGCCATACTTGCGTCGTCGGCGGCCGAGTTGCAAATGATCCGACGAGCATGTATGCGTAGGTATATGGATGTGGAGGAGGCGAGAGAGGTATGTCAGGATCCTGCTAAATGGAAGTCTGTAGTCCTTGCCTACCCCTCTGGATGACAGGCGTGAATGTTTATGTTATATATATATATATATATAAAAAAAAAAATATATATATATATATATATATATACATATTATATGTATAAGAGGAGGTACAATTAAATAGTATCTGCAGCATTACACATACTACATTGTAGTTTACACATTTAAGTAATTTAGTTTAGTTCAAATAGGGCCCCAATTTCATTTTTGCCCCGGGGCCCTTGGCTGCATAGCTACGCCACTGGACCTAAGTACTATACTCAATGACCTCAATAGTGTCTCCTAACGGATAGGTCTTAAGATGAACATAGACAAAACAAAGATCTTGTATAATGTCCATGTCACACCTTTTTTTCCTTTTTTTTAAAACGAATGCCGGTACACCTATGCCGGTAGTTGGGAGCACTAAGCTCAAAGTTGTTGATGAATACGTTTACCTGGGACAAATGATTCAACTCATCTGGGCGTGTTCGGGAAATTACGACACATCTTTTCATCAGGTATACCTCAACATCTGAAAACGAGATCTTACAACCAGTGCGTGTTGCCAGTGATGAGTGGTGACTTATGGATTTGAGACGAAGTCCTTCACTGCTGGCTGTGTGAGGAAACTCAAGGTCGCTCAGAGAGCTATGGAGAAGGTTATGCTCAGCGTTTCATTGCGTGATAAACTTAGAAATGAGGATATCCATAGTAGAACCAGAGTGACTGACATAGCCCAATGGATTAGTAAGCTGAAGTGGCAATGGGCCGGCCGTATAGGTTGAAGAACCGACAACCGATGGATCGTAAGGTTATTGAGTGACAGCCTTGTACCGGTAGATGAAGTGTGGGGTGCAGATGGATTGACTACCTGGTAAGACATGCAGGAAGACGATGAATGCAGGTGGCGCAGGACCGTGCTTTGTGGCATTTCTTGGGGGAGGCCTATGTTCAGCAGTTGACTTGTGAAGGGCTGTAATGATGATGAGACTCTTAGTTAAAATATTATAAAAATACCAATTGTGACAAGAAATTCATTCCACCTGCATACAGTAAAGTATTCCGGGAAAAATCTCTTTTAAAGTCTTTTTTAAATGCCATAAATCTACCATATCTGTAAACTTGTCACTAGAAAGGTTATGCGCACTGTTTAGCCTAGCTGTTTAGTGTTTAGTGTTTAGTAGTAATATTAAAAACTACGTAATAATAATCACCGCGCTTAATGCAATATTAAAATGTATGAACATTTATAAATCCTCTATGATATTCCATTCTAAAATCGTAAGGTTTAAGGGAAATAATAATAATTTTTTTATAATTACAAATGGCAATCTAAACTGATCGTGTTTTACCCTGCTGATTAATAATGGTACAAAAATGCTGAACCCAAATTTCACTCCCATACCGGATATTGGAAGTAGCATTACCAGTGCGAGGAGATTCCTCCGACTGCTTCGATTGCAGGGCCACAAGTTTCTCACTTATCCGCCAGGTCTAGGGCTGCCACATTGAAATGGAGATTTTCCCAAATAAGTTTAAAAAATTGTTTACAAAAAAGAAAAAATATATTAATTTTAATAATTATTTTACTTCGTTATTGCTTAAAGCTTCTTTGCTCTTTATTTTACCATTACTGGTAAACATAGGTTTTCCCCTATAGATTGTCACATAGGTGGGATTTTGACACAGTAGCTACGCTTGACACGCAACCTGGTAAACGCATTTTTTACTATTTTCTGTTTTTATAGGGTAGATGCCGCCCAACACCTGTTTCAGTTTCCGTCTGTGGAGTTCACGTCACCACTATTCGGCGAGACTATAATATACTTCTAAAAGTATACTATGTAATAATAATCTATTCAGGTCTCTTTTCCTTTCTGAGTAGGTATTAAAGTTATAAGTTGTATCGAACTTCTATACGTTCTAATGAACGAATGATGTCTTACGCTATTTTATTATGCCTGTAACGATTTATTGACGTAACTGTAAAAACTTTTCTTAATTATTAAAATAATGTGATCATTTTATTTAATGAAAGAGTAACTTTAACAGCTAAATTTTTCTTAGCTTTTATAGTAAATAACTGGATAATATGACTTATTTATTCAACAGCATAGTATGGATCCTAATCATGATAAGTGCCCTCATATGTTCAATATCTCTCGTGTTGATAACGTTCAGAAAGTACTACAGGGCGCCGTTGGTGACCACACAAATGCCGGAGGGTATTTCTGTCAGCAAGATAATATTTCCAGCTGTAGGAATCTGCACTAATAATCGGATCAGTAAACGAGCCACTACTGAATTAGCGCGAAAGTTGTAAGTTTAATTAAATTATACACCTAGATATCTAGTCAAATATCTTAAAATATTTTTAGTTTTCCTTTAAATTGACGATACCACAATAAATGAAAAGGTAAAGATTTCTAGTTAAAATATATTTTAAAATAATATATTTTAAAATAATAAATAAATAAAATATATTTAAAAAATCCTGTTTAATTAATAAAAAATAATATTTTAAAATAAATATAACATTAACATTAACTAAACTAATGTTAATGTTATGTTAAAATTAAAAAAAAATTAAAATAAATATTATATTTGTGATTACTAATTATAAAAAGTCTGTATATAACATCACTATTACTCAACCCTAACATCGTGTTTATTCCAAATTATGTGACGGTTGGAGATTCGATTTGGTTTAACGCCGTTTTCGTACCTTAAGGCGCTGTACTTAGTCAAAGTAGGCTTCAGAAAACATTTTTTTAGGAAAATGTATCATTTTTATATTTCCGTCGTCTTACCTAAACTGCACCTACATTATGTGTACAACTAATAAGAAAAAAAATAATCTGTGACTAAACTACTAAATTTATTTATCCTGCGATCAAAAATTTATTGTGGCAGCGTCGTCACCACCCATCATCTGGACTATTTACATAATACTTATTGAAGCTTTTTTTTACACGCTTTTACGCGCTTTTTTTCTCTCACTATATTTTTTAAAACTAAACTCAGCAAATGCCATACAGCTTGTTCAACAGAGTCTTACAACATGTAGCCTATTTACATTCGTTCATTACAGTCTTTCAAAAGTCAACTAATGAACACAGACTTCTCGGACTGCCTCGATTCCATCAGAAAGGAGTAGTTGCTATAGTTGTCACGCTTAGGGGAGTCGGCTACTGCAGTTTTTTTAATAGTTTGAGTAGTTACCAGGAAGATACCAATGCTTATCTTGTGTTTAAGTCGCTTCCTATGACACTCATGGGATGGATGATATGGGGTAGTGGTAGTGGGTCTACTTTACATAAAAATAATTTGTTAGCTAATATTGAGAAGAGAGTACCTGACTAAAGTAGCTAACTATTAAGTCACCGGTACTCAAACCGAATTTAAGCTAAAGCCATATTTCGAGTCAAAACTCTGAGTCTGACGCCGCATCTAAGCCTACTTTCGATCGTATCGCATAAGCGTTACATTGGATGATTCAGACTAAGAAGATAAAACTGTGTTTGTCACAACACTTGTGTCACTGTTTAAACTAAAAACGGACTTTTAAGATACGAATAGAAAATCGAATATCCCCCTGAACCTTCGAATAAATTTCTAAATTTAGATTGGCTAAAATTAGAAATTCTTTTTAAATAATAACATAAATGTTTACCTACAATAAAATCATTATAAATATAATGCAAAAGTAGGACAAAACTTTTAAAAAAATTTGTTAAGAATGCTAACTATAAAATGAAACATGATGTGGGAAAATAAGTTTTAATCTGTAGTAGCCAACATTATTATGTAAAATCTAACCTTTGAGAAAGGCTTCTTTTTGTTAACTTGTGTAGATATTTTTTTGATTCTGATCTTAATAAGAGCTTTAAATAAGCCTTAGTAGAATAAAAAGTTTTGATTTTGACTTCGAAAACACTTGGAAGTCGTCTCAAATAATTAAAAGTTTTAAAATTAAAGTCCAACATACTTATAAGGAACCAAAGGAATTTACTCGGCAGAATATCACCTTTTAGATTGACTTAAATCGAGCTCATATACAGACCTTTACTTAGCTCGCGGTCTTTATTGCTCATCGGACTCAGGACTCGCGGCCTGAATGATTCTGAGTGAGTACAACTGTAAAAGCCAACTGGCTAACACCATTGATATCATAGAAAATAGATGACACCTACTCGTAGTATGGATAGCGTTTAAACAATTTGATAATTTTCAACTAATCTTTTCCTCTCAGAATTTAAGTACACGTTCCCTTCTCCTTTATCGACCAGTAAACACATTGCTGAACACTGGCTACTCCCGTTGTGGGAGGCAGGCTTGGTAAGAAGATTAACGAGCGTAGTAGTCGCCTGTCTGGTTAGTTTGAAGTTGGCGTAAACGAGATGGACTATCTATCAAAAGCCAAAAAATTTCCAGGCATTTCTCATACAGGCACTGCTCATTAGTATGAGAAATGCTTGGAAATCCTACGGCTTTTGTTACTACTAGTGATTAATACTAATAGTAATATATTGAATTTTATTAAAAAAATTAAGTACTTAAGTAAAAGTAAATAAAACTTTAATAAAGATTCTTAAACTATTATTTATTCTGAGATAAAGATTAGCATTATAACCCACTCTTTTTTGTTTTGTTTTTTCAGCCTTTCGCCAAATTTCGCAGCCTATGTGCCCTCAACCTAATTAGTCTAATAATATCGCTCTCCATTGTGTCATATAACTATTAATTATGTACTCGCTAATTAACTGGGGTTTAACTTTCTGACTAGACTCAAAGAAGAACGTAATAAAATGTACGACGCGGAGGAAATGCTATCGCTCCTGGTTGGCTTAGGTTCGTTTTATAACATTGACCCGATGGATGACGACGTGGTGAGGCCGATGCAACTGCACCGCGCACTAGGCGAATACGATGTCAATGAACTCATACAAAGCGTAAGTATAATAAGGTAGTTGTTTGTAAGATCTCCGCTCACTGTTGGATTTAGTGGTATTGGGTCTATTACATAATCGCCCCCGGCGATACCTACACGCCGAGCACTCGTGGTCATATTGTAGCTATCTACTTTAACATCAAGATGAATAAAAACGTTTTCAAAGTTGAACGACCTTCTTACAGACAGACGGTTCTAATTGTTTAGGCGAAACAATTTACACGTAGGTATGTAGCTTATTTGATAACGTTAGTTTGACACTGGCTTACTTTGTGTTTTTCACATTTTGGCTCACCTATACACTATGCTTCCATACCAACGAACACAACGCAAAGTGCGTGACTGCGGTCTTATCTTCTTTATAAAACAAAATTTTACTCTAAATTTAATTAAATTTAATAAAATAAAAATATAATTTTAAATTAATCATATCTAATGACTTATGGCTTCTATGTTTTTTTTTCAATGGCAAAAATAAAATCTTATCATTTATAAAACCAAAATGGCAAACGAACTTATCTTACTTCAGTTTAGAAACTAACGCCTAATGGTAAGTGGTTACTGTACTGCAGTCCATGGACACTTGCGGTCAACTCCAAAGAAAACTGCCTTGTCACCTTTGAGGACTTAGATGGAATACCTCATACCCTTCAGACGGAAAATCAGCGTTGTTGCTATTTGGTAGCAGAAATAGTGAAGACTACCCAGATGGATTCTCAGGCAAATAAAAAGCCTAAAACCTAGTAATTATTGTATTGATATCTTTTTAAACCAAAAGACAATTTTAAACTGTTACGATGTTTTGTTATTAGGCATTAAAATTACATTTACTTAAGATTAAGTAATTGTTTTTAGTGTTAGTAATATACCTACTCGTAGTATATCATATAAATTTTATAACGTAACTTATGAGCTTATACTTCGAAACAAGTTAGATGGGTAATAATCATTACATAAGCCTAAGTGGAATATTTCCCGAACCGCATACATTCACAATCAGAGGCTAACTTTTATGTAACTTGAATTACATACATAATATAATATGTATATTATTTTCGCTCCGTTTTTTTTGTTCGTTTGTTTTGGAAATTATATTTAGATACAACTTACATACTGATGAAATACGAATAATATTTTTTATCTTAGCGACATAATAAAAAAACTGAACTGGTTATTTGATTAAAAAATCATGAGTGCAATTAATTTAAATTTTCAATAAAAAATATATATATATATATATATATATATATAAACACGAAATAATAATAAGAATTGCTGGTTTAAAGGTATAGAATTTCAGTTGTATATTAGTGTGTAAATCAATTTAAAATAATTTTCCGTTAATTTCTATACTACGCCTAAGTTTTTAACTTCTGCAAACGTTTTTATCAGATGATGAAAATATGACGTTATTTTTGTTTATTTTTGTTTTGTATGTCACACAGGCGCACATGGCGCAGGGATCACTCGTGTAGGTGAATCCCGCGCTTATTATGCGTGCGTGATATGTTTCTACATTCGCGTTATTTTCCTGTCACGTGATTTTCTCTGTCTGTTACGGTACTCACTCACACAAACGCACGCACTCTAGCGCAAGGTTTACTCTTGCACTTGAGTGCGTGCGTTTTGAGACTCTCGTACGAGTATGAATCTTCTACACTCTTGTTCACTCTGACATAAATTAGGTGTTCCCTTTTTTTGTATAAAGTTCCTAAATTGTAACATTGCTTACACCATCTACAGTTGACACCGCATTGTGAAGATATTCTTTTGAGATGTGCGTGGAATCAGCAACCAAAGAATTGCTCCGATGTATTCGACTTTCGCCTCACCATGAACGGGTACTGCTGTACATTCAATTACTTGAGAGGAACGGACGATATGTTTATGGAGTAAATATTTTTTTATACAATTTCTGTTTATTATAGAGCCGTAGCCCATACAATAAGCCTTAAAATTTTATAGCGCGTGAATGTAGTCATCAAAGCCGACTACAATGAAATTGATAAATTCAATCTTATGTGCCGATTTATAAAGACGGACGCAGTGCGTTGAACTCTATTCTTACACTGAAACCTATTGAGAAACGAGAGTTGACCTGTGTTCAACCGTAAACTGTAACTCTTACAGTTTTATACAAATAATATATAATAGAGTATAACTAAAACCTATATCATATGTTTATATGATATAGGGTTGTTTATTTGTTTCTCTAATTTCTATAAAATAGAGAAACAAATATAGAGTCCACCTCGTAGAAAGTGGATGCTGTGACCTATTGGTACCCTGCATATATTTTTGAATTTGAGAATTAAAACGCAGAACGCGTTTTCAGCGCTGAGGACAACTATGGAATGCCTCCTTACCAATAAAATAGTCTCTGGTTTTTACACTCATCATACAAATCTGATGCTCAAATTATGGTAGAGTCTGTCTACAAATGTATTATGACTACAATACGAAAGGGTCAGCTGTACCGGAGAAGGTAAACTGTCATAAAACGTGAGGACGTGGTCCCTGTCTTTTGATCGTGAATAACGTTACTTTAGTAGTAAGATAAAACAGACTTGAGAGCAAAATTATACACATTTACCACGCGAACGCATCTTCCAGCTCAACAGAATCGACTCGTAGTACAGATATGCTTGAATACGGCAACAAATCAAGTTTCGACTTTGACCAGGGACTTAAAATTTTGTTGCTACTAAATGAGGACGATGATTTTTATTACAATATACCGCTGCAAGGTGCCCAGGTTCGAAATACTTATTATTTAATATTTTTAATAAAATTTCTTTTACGGATTTTTTTCGAGTTTAATTTATTAGATTTTTTTTAATTCCCGACGTTTCGGGTGCTTTACTGTTCGAGCAAATATAAGAAATCATTGTGTTAAATTGTTTAAAATTGTTAGTAGTTTTAGTAGTAGAATATGTGATATTATACTATTTCAATTTTCAGTTACAATTATCAGACATATACGACTTTCCGGATGCACCAAGTGGAAGTTTTTCTATGCAAATCATTAGTCCTAACGTACAGGTACTCGTTTAATATATTATGTATTTGTACTTAAAATTAAACTTTAATATATCTTCCAAACAGTGGCGTATCATAGGTTACTGCCGATCGGAGCCACGCTAGAGCCAAAAGTGCCAACCCTCACCCGTGTCCACATTTTCACAAGTATCTTGAAATATATACAGTCCCCTTTTTAGTCTATGACAGACAAGGCGAAACTTTTTGAAGAATAGGTCATTATTTCCTTTGGTACTAGGTCGTTGGTCCTTCTAAGGCCTCCTTTAAATAATCCTTTTAAAAGTTTACCTCTCCTATTTGTAATTTGTATTAATAACTTTACTTTTATCTTAGTCTATTATTTATTCTATGGTTTTGTAAGTAAAGAGTAAATAATAAAGGTTGACGGCAAAAACTAAGTTATTTATGGTGAAATTTTAAGAAGTAACATTTCTAATCATTTATAGACTATTTTACAGTATTTTTAAATCGGTATACTTAAAAAAATTATATATTAAAACAATTAGAATGTAAAAACAATTTATAATGTACTATATTATACAATACATGGTGGCAGCATGAATGGGTCGGCTCGAACGGGGAAGGCCCACGCTCTCACAGATTACCAGCGTAAAATAGCAGCATAATACCGCTGTTTCGGATGGTAACTGTAGAGATCTGGAGACCCTTTTTTACTGGAAACGAGGCATTCTATCTTAGTCAGTTTTCTTTTTCAGTTTTCTTCAGTTTTGGGCTCAAGTTCATTTGTCCCTAGAGCAAGCAGACTTCTAAACTATTATGGTAAAAACATAGATATCCATGCTACAAGTCTGAATACGTTTCGCAAACACTTGCAAAAAACCATAGTCGAGTATAATAATTAAGTAATTTTTATGTTCATTTATATACTGTGCTGTTATTGTTTCCTTTTTTCTCTTTCTTTTTCTCATTTATTGTGAACAAATTAAGTCACTTATAAATATTGGATGTTACTACCCTTAATATTATGTGCATGTGGTGTTTACCTTAATTAATTGTGCATTTGGCTGTACATGTTATTGTTAAATACTAATTGATGTATTATTGTTACAATTACTGCTAAACCTAATAAATAAAATAAATAAATAAAATTAGTCGTCAGGGGTGACAACAAATCTGTGTTTTGATTCTTAATCGAGGATAAATGTAGATGTCTATGGGCCACGGCATTCACTTACCATCAGGTGGACTGTGCGCTCGTTTAACAATCTTATTCTCGTTTATAATAGATTTGGCTCTAAATGCGATAGCTAGGAACTCAAGACGTTAGGAAATATGTTTGAATCCATTGGCGATAAAAAAAGAATTGGTGTCTATTGCCTCGGATTATACCTTACAGGTTGTTCTCTTTCTTCTCTTCTTTGCCAGCCTATAAAAGTCCACAGCTGGACATGGTGCACTCTCATTGTAGGGAGGAACATGGCAATCGGATTAATTATCGTAGAACCAGATGACACCTATTGACATTGAATCTCGATATGTTACCTCTAAAGTTAACAATAACACTTCTATCAGAAGCCATAAGAGTTTCTTTCATTTTCTACTGGCATCTCTAACGAAGACGCCTATGGAACGAAATGAGGATGATGGTTTCAAAGCACATCATGCGCACAAGTGACTCATGTCTCTGCTTTCGCACGTCCAATCAGTGCGAAAGCATCCTACTATAATACTATTAATCCCGTACAAAAGGTAACTTTCAGTTTTAAATTAAAATCGATAGTTGATCGTTTTCAGAAATCAAAACTTATAACTAGGACTGACAGAAATGTAATTGCTAGAAAGGGAACTAACTTATATTCCTTAGTTATTACCAATTAAGTTAAGAGACTACGTGGTTAGTATTCATTTATAGGGAGGCGATAAATTCATCACTATTTTCGTAAATAGTGACATGTCTTTATTTTTATTTATATATCCTCAGATGACAGTAATGGTAACTGCGAGCTTGACGGTAGCATCGCGCGACATTCAGCACGTACCTGTGAAGTTGCGTCAATGTCTCTTCTACGACGAATCCCCTTACCTCCCATACTATACATACAGCGATTGCATGCTAAAATGCCGGATGTCATTCTTATTAGCTAATTGTAACTGCACACCTTTTAACATACCTAAAATGGCAAACACGAGGACTTGCGATATGAGAGACATACCATGTCTCAGAATATATTATGGTGAGGACTTCCACACACTTCATACGCTCACACACCTTACATGTTGGAACTATAAGTACTATCGTCAAAAGCTATTTGCAATGCCTTAGAACATGATTTAACCTAGATTCAACAATACTCAAAACATAATGAAAGTTTGTAAGTTAGTTTGTTAGTTTCACAATTGGCGCTATTGACATGATCCAGAAATCACTTGTGTAAAGCTGGGGCGGATCACTAGTAATACAGAAGGGGTGTACGAAAATAACAAATCCGCACTGCTTGGAAAAATATTGTTTTTTTTTTAATCGAGTCACAGACTACGCAGATACGATATTTTATCTGCTCATAAAAACTTAATTATCTGAAAATATCACACACTAAGCAGATACGATAATATAAGGAATGATACATTCACTCAGACCCTTCAAATTTTATAGAGGTGTTTCTTGGAGCGGATTGGATCTTGTTTTATACAGACATACAGTTTGAGTATTCCCTCCTATGAGTTGGTGTATATTGCTTCTAGATTTGCTAAACAGCTCGTCAGAATAGCATTCAGATTTTGATTTTTATGCACGTGTTGCATTTGCATTTACTAAAAGGCGAATAATTTGGATATAAAGCTTAAAAAGGACCGAGGCGCATTTAATCGTATTTTCCAGCAACTATCCTGTATCTGCAGATAAAACCTTATGCTATTTATTATTCAAAAATGAGAGGAAGCCCAGTGTAGGGCTGCCGCTCATTTAATGAAATATTTTGCTGTATTTTTTTATCATTTTAGCACAGTCAATCACTGTTCGACCGAATATAGATCAAATACCTGTAGAGTTGGAGATGAATACTGTAGACGAAGGCATCAGTTGTCCGATGTGCTACCCAACTTGTTCGAAAACTGCTTACAATTACGATTTTAATAATGTTAAAATCTATCCGGAGTATCTTAACACTGTTCAGGATACAGACAGAGTAGACTGGCTGTAAGTACACATTTTTATTGTGGTTATAAATATTGTATATTTTAGTTTTATGTAAATGAATTATCAGGACATTTCGAATAACACCATAAAATTTAAAGTGTACTTGTAACAAATAAATATGTTATTATAGGGAATAAATATTGTAGCAGTCGTGATATAAATCAACGACATATCTTAAAAGTTTTAAAAGCACAAGTATTTATTGGGCCTTCGTTCTTGAAAGTAATCTTTTCAATCTTCGATTTGGGGCTTCCAACTTCCTGAAGCCAAAGCTTCATTTCTTTTACAGCATTTCTAGAACCTTGTAACTGACCGATGACTGTTCCTTGAGCTGTGTTCATTACCCAACCTTTAAGACCCAGTTCTGAAGCTTTTCTTTGGGTATGTTTTCTAAAAAATACGCCTTGAACTTTCCCAAACACCTCAAAGTCTATTGTGACTAATCCTGATTTATTTGATTCATTATCCATTGTATTATATACAATAATTAATAAATATATATTATATAACTAAATTGCAAAAATTTACAATTCTGGCCAATATTGACATTGTTTGCGTCAACCATTAGTAAACAAGTGAAAGCCTATAATATTATTCTTTGTCGCTTAGCAACCAGTCAGTAACCATGTGCCTCAGATCAATATAAAGGAGTACAACATAGATTACTGAGTATATTATGTAGTCTGTATACATTCATGGTATATATGCAGTTAATTTTATTTTGGTATATAAATACAATCGTTATACATATATCATAAATACATTTTGTATTTACACCTAGACTCAATTAATTTTATGCGATTGTAGCGGCGCTGTCGTCGCGCCGCAAGCGAAACACGCCGAAGCCTAAATCACGCTATCAAAATTCCGAATCATAAACAGTATATATAGAACATCTTCGAATTATCACACGGAGACTTGGCCGCTCCCCGGACCTTGCCGACCACAGTGGTGACCCCGACGTGATCTGAACACGCGCAACCAACAATCTTCGGAAACTTCAAGCTTCATCATCGTCATAGAATATCCCACCCATTCGCTCCCGAGCAGATATCGTCTGCAGTCTTCATACCCTGCCAGCCATCTAGCTGCACAAGGTTCATCGCAGCATTGGAATAATAATGCTTCCTGTTCCTTTAAGCTATTCTCTGCGCTATACAGTGTTCGGCACGGCTCTGAGCCTTACTGCTCGCCTCTGCTTCACGGCACTCTCGCAGATTACTCGCCTTCTTCTCGACTCACCGCAGACTAAAAGGCAATCTCCTGGCACTTGCACATTTATTGACAACGAAGCTGCACTATCGACCTCCGGTCTGAGCAGGGGGGTGATGTAGCGGCGCTGTCGTCGCGCCGCAAGCGAAACACATCGAAGCTTAAATCACGCTATCAAAATTCTGAATCATAAACAGTATATATAGAACATCTGCGAACTATCACTCGGAGTGACAGCCGCTCCCCGGGCAGAACACCTTGCTCGGCGGGAGATCTCCCCTTTTCCTTCTACGGCCACATGTTTATAAAAGTTGCAACTTAATGTTTTTAGATAACATTATGATATACTACTACACAAATAAATTAAAAGAATATATCATTGTCTGACAATAACTACCAGGAGGCTCAAAAAGGCGTCCGATGTATTATAATGGCGGTATTGCAGTCTCGTATATGCCAGATGTAAATGGCCGATCAAAGAAAGTGTCAATTGGATCACCAGTTTTATTTCATAAGGAGCATCAAGGCCGTAGTAGACGGTGCATGCTACGATCGCAAGCCCATTAAAGCTGGTGTTCCACAAGGTTGCGTGCTATCAGCAAGTCTGTTTCTTCTGCATATCAATGATATGTTGCAAACCGGTAACATTCATTGTTATGAGGGCGCCATAACTGGTGATGCTTTATACACCGGTCGTGCCAATATTTCTCGGGAGAACGTCGCCGAGTACCGGGACAAACTTGTGTCTGAAGTCGAGACTTTGTTGAACAAAGTCAAGGACTAGGGTCGACTAAATCTACTCCAGTTCAATATGCAAAAGACACAAGTTTGCGCGTTTACCGCTAAACAGGACCTCTTCGTCGTATCTTCTGAGTATCAAGGCTCTCCTCTTATTGCCTTAGCCAGTATAGGAATCTCCTCCATATCGAATGACGTGCAATTTTGTGGCCATTTGGAAGAGAAAGCCAAATTGGCCTCTAAAAAACCTGGCGTGGTTAGCAGATCAGGACAGTATTTCATGCCAGCACATCGCTTGTAACTTTACAAGGCGCAGGTTCGGATGCACATGGAATACTGTTTCCACCTCGGGGCTGGGGCTCCCCAGTGTCAGCTCCTTACATTTGATCGCATCCAGCGCAAAGCCGTTCGAATCGTCGGCGAACGAGCTCCCTCCAATTGGCTTGATTCACTGGCACTGCGAATAAATGTTGCATCGCTTCGCGTATTTTATCGCATTTACCGCGGGGAGTGCTCTGAGGAATTGTTCGGACTAATTCCAGCTGCACAATTTCACCACCGTCCATCGCGAAAAAACTGCGATACTATACATACTGGTTGCGCGGAAAACCATTCGTATTTATTTTATTTGACGGTAGGCTGCCAAATCGGTTACCCTTTCCAAAACGATATCATTCGTACCCTCCTATCGACACATCGGGGTGGTGGGGTGGGAGGGGAAAGAAGATGATTCTAGAACATCACGTAATCATCGGAACCGAGGATATATAAGACACGCGCGACCGACGCGTGGCCTCTTCCCGCCGCGCTCGCCGTTGAAACCACACCGCCTAGGATAATAGTGTCCTAAAGAGCTCTTCCCGCCGCGCTCGTTGTTGGAAACACATCTAGTAGAAACCGCTTTAGCCTGGAAGCAGTCGAGCTCCAGGAAACCCGCCTCACCTCGTGAGATATAGTCGCGCACCGCCTCTCTCCGGAGTGTTCCAGAAGTCGCAGTTATAGTGTTCGACCGCACAGAAGAAACATCCCGGTGAGTCAACATTTTCCTAATAGTATTTTCCTGCTTGATATAGTAGTTTTTACCCGCTCCAATTTTGTGTTTTCCTAATCAAGCAGGATTCCTTTCATCGATTTGGCATAATAGTTCGTTTTTTTGGGAAGAGCGAGTGCATTGTACCGCATATACAAGTGTAGAAGCATTAGTAGATACAGTCCACTTAGATTAATAATTCGCGCAATAGGTTTAAGGTTCGACCGGGGAACTAGACTTCGGCAGCCTTAAACACGTGGCTCCACCACATACCATCTGGATTACTGGCGTGCCACCACTGTGCGATTTAAGAGAAGTTTTCTTCCTCGCACAACTTCCTTGATGAATCGACTACCACCAGATATTTTCCCGGACTGATACGACTTAAGGACTTTCAAGAAATGAGCCCACTACTTTTTTTAAAAGCCGCTTCTGCAATTCTCCTGGTGCTGCAGTTGTTCATGGGCGGTGGTAATCACTTACCATCAGGTGAGCCGTATGCTTGTTTGCCCCCTCTCCTATATAAAAAAAAGATGCGAGGCATCTGGGATTGATATTCTTTCTGCCAGATATAGTGGTTTTGCATAATGCTCATACTGTGGGAGAGGCTCACATTTAATAATGATCTGTGGCAGGCTTTTCAGTACTACTTCGCGAAGTACGGTACCTACATTATATTTATATCTGTTCCACCAAAAAACATGTTTTCAAGAAATATATGTATTTTACGGAATGACATGCCATGGTTAATTTAGAGAACAATAACGCAGCCCGTATATATTTTTCCTTTATATACGTTTCGTGGTAAACTAATGTAACTTCACTAATGTTAACTCTGTGAAACCATTGCTATGTAGCATCAAACATTAAACTGTGTAACACTACCTGTCCGTTAACATTTCAACAGTAGTCGATGCTTGTGAAACTAAACTTGCTTTGAATAGGCATGTGGAGCGAGTTATTATTTCAAACTGTAAGTTAGAATGTGTTTGTTGCAGACAAGGCGCAAATTTCACCGGAACCTCCATTGTGCATGTGAAATATGGAAAAGAAACAGCAGACCGTTACGGACAAAATGTTATAATGAAATGGTTCGACTTGATCAGTAAGTGTTTTTACCGACTGTCCTAGAAGGAGGGTAATGTTTTCCGTGTATAGAATACTACAATACACAATAGAATGGCTGTCAACCTTATTTTATACGACGATAGGCGTCGCCGGGAGTACACATACAAGCAATAACGTCGTATTATCACTACTACAAACCCGATTCGCTGTATTGACAGACAGATTTTAATACATATTTATTTGTAAATAGCGTGCAGTTTGGCATTTTATAAATAATTTGCATGGGAAATTTGGAAACCATTGTAACGTCAAAACACATCTCGTGTTGACATTTATACGTGTGAATATACGTGTTAGTGACATGTTAGTGGCTACACGGGCTCCGCCACTCCCTTGTTCTATTATGTATGTATTATAGTATTCTATGTTTCCGCGTGTAAGTATGTATGTCTATTTTTGGCACGCTCTGTGTGAACGACTTGATGGATTTTTCACCGACTTCAAAAGGAAGGAGATATTCAATTCTACTGTGTTTTTTATTTCTGAACTCCACAGAACTTTTTTTTCTTGGTAAGCCAATTTAGATTATTTTTTTTAGCAAAATACCACTGACTGACAGACTCATCACGAGATATCTAAAACTATTCCCCCGATTTACTTGAAATTTAGTATAGTTACTCATTTCGCAATGTAGACGCTCACTAAGAACGGATTTTACGACAGTCCTATTAAAATCTTTTTTCTTGATAATTTACATCTAGGTTCCGCAATAAAATATTATCGTGCGCCCAGCGAAGCGAGTGAGTATCATCAAGTTTATTTTTTAAGCCAATGTCGAATTACGAAATAAAATCATAATGATTTTTTTTTATAGGATAGGTTGACAAACGAGCACAAAACAGTCCACCTGATGGTAAGTGGTTGCTGTGGTCCATATACATCTACATCTATCCTTGATTATGAATCAAAATGCAGATGCGTTGTCACCCGTGAGGACTTAGGTGGAATGCCTCGTTTCTAGTAAAAAGGGTCTCCGGTTCTCTACACTCACCATACGAAACATAGCAGCATTAAGCTACTATTTTACGCTGGTATTCTGTGAGAGCGTGGTCCTTTCCCTGTCGAGCCGACCCATTCGTGCTATAACTATACTACTAATATAATTGCAGCATGGCTCTACCACGTATAAATCTAAAATTATTAAACTCGATTAATATTACAGTATTTAATGTCCAAATACTCAAACGCTGCTCAATTTTAAGATTCCGTTAAATCTTGCGCTGTCTCTTTCACTTCGAGTCAAAGCGATAGTGACACCACCAGACCGTGACACTGAACGGCATCTTGAAATTGACTAGTGTTTGAGTATTTGGCCATAAAAGCCTTATTTTAATTATATCGATATCGGAAAAGCGCCTAACAAATACTCCTTTAAAAAGAAGGTACGCGATGTATCTATATATGTGTAAGTATGTATGTTTATATATGGTTATTAGCGTATAAATGTATTCATGTTATGAATATGTGTTATTATACGTATATGCACTTACTAACAATATTATATCATTATCTGTTTTGTCATATATAATGTGTATTAATTTTAGTTTCTCTTTTTTTCTTTTTTTAATTGCTACACCTACGACAAGCTCTTTTCATTTGTCATATTCTTACATTTCTTGCATCGAGCCCATAAACCACTATTTTTAACCGACATGAAACTAGAGGTGGTACTCAACTCGAATTGTATTTTTTTGTGTGTGTGTTACCTCTGAACTTTTTTCTATGTAAACTGATTTTGATGGTTATTTTACTTATTTGAAAGCAAAATAAGACCAGTAGTTTTCAAGTTATCCTTGATAAACGTATTTTTTACGTGATAGAATCACGCTGCAGCTATATTAGTTGTAGCAGGAATGGGTCGGCTTAACCGGGGTAGGACTACGCTATCACAAAATAACAGCGTTAAATAGCAGCTAAAGGCTGTTGTGTTTCGTATGATGAGTGTAGAGGACCGGAGACTCTTTTTTACTGGAAACGAGGCATTCCATCTTATTCCTCAAGGCTCAGGGCTGATGGCGCATCTGCATTTTGATTCCTAATCAAGGATTTATCCTTATATTTATATAGATATCTATGAGCCATAGCTTCCACTTACTATCAGGTGGACTGTGTGCTTGTTTGTCACCTTCTTCCATTAAAAAAAGAGGTCTAAGTGCGACCCGAAAGTTCCACACGAATAACTTCCCAGTGGAAAGAATAAAAAAATACCATATGTTTTAATATTTTGTACAATTTTTCATTCGGCACAAAAAACGACTTGCCGATTCTGCTCAAATTTTATTAAGGTCTAAGTTACATAATTATGCGTTAAGTGAAACTGGTCCATGTCAATATCACTCTTTGTTCTCGAGGTATACGAGGCTAAAACTGAGTCCGAACATACATACATACATACATGTGCACACACGGACATCCTCTTAAAAACCATACTATTCGACTCTAAAGAACTTGAAACGTGGAGATATGTAAAAATTTCCAATTTGCTAAATCGGACCCATTACAATAACTTCCCACTGGGAAGTTAATAATAATGGACTTCGACCACATTAATTTTAATTTTTTTTATTGAAGTCGGTTGTACATAATTATTAATTTTACCACTTGTTACTTTTCATGTAGACAAACTTTAACTGCAGTGGATCCAGATTTCGTGGCATGTTTTACTCGTATTTACGTTTTTGAGTGAAGTTTTAGAAAGTAACAACAGAAACTAAATAAACTAAACATTATGGACAAAGGAATTTACCACCAATGGATATTTCTCGTGTTCAGAGCTACGCACAATACAACATGCAACAATGTTATTATCATTGATAATTATCATTAAATAATTGTCACGATAATCATCGTTGATAATAAATAAAATTATTTTCTTGAAAATAAAAAAATAACTATCCCGTGCAACACTGCCTACGAATATATGAGATTTGAAGGTGTCGGTGTAAAAAATCCTTCAGGAAATGATTTCATAAATTTACGCGAAGACTACACATTGAATAAAACTACTATTTACGGATTTTATCGTGTTTAATTACTAATTTAACTTATTTTTATTATCCCGACGTTTCGGGTGCTTTACAGCAACCATGGTCAGGGGGGGTCTGAGATGTTTGACGTCCTAATGTCATAGTTAGTCTGGCTACCTTCAGTTTTTGAATATTATAGGGTTGAAGGAACCTAAACGTGGAGTTGAAGAGGTCACGACTAATGAAATCAACGCTCCGTCCTCCTCGTGCCTTAATCCATTAAGGTTAAGCCCCGAAAACTTTCAGCTCGAGTTACAAAATCGTTTTCAATGCCTAAAAAACTGCAATGAAGTAGACGACATAAATGACAAGTTTGTGGAAACTGTCCATGCGGTTAGAACTATGTGCTGTTTTCGAGAGTCATTACGAATAGTTTCGCATGCATACTAGACTTTCAGCCTCCCAAACAAGCTGGATTCTGAAAAGGCTTTAGTACCATAGACCACATACATACCCTTCGGCAAATTGTACACAAGACAGAAGAGTACAACCTGTCACTTTGTCTACGAGTTGTCACTGTTAACTATGAGAAAGCCTTTGATTCCATCGAAATTTGGGCGGTGCTGCAGTCCTTTCAGTAGCCGTATAGTGGTGGTTAACAATATCCACTACCCCGTATCTTCCCGTGGGTGTCGTAAAAGGCGACAGAGGGAAACAGGCAGGAGATGGGCAGCAGGAGATGAGCAGCTTTAACAGTGGTAGAGCCACGCGGCAGCCTTTGCTGTTGCATGCATGGGCCGGCTCAAACCGGGGTGGAACCACGACCTCACAGAAGAACAGCGCGAAGTATAATCTTTGCTTCTGCGTTTCTCCTAGCGAGTGCAGGTGGCAGGAGGCCCAAACTCCCCCCTCCCATCAACATGGTAGTGGGATTAAATGCAAGACTACCCAAGGAAGGTAACGCTTGAGACTAAACCTGCTCGGGGCAAATGGAGCATTGGGTCAAAGGCGCCCCCTGCCACGCTATCCGTGAGTTTCTGCAACATCAGGGGACTTCATTCAAACCTTAACGCCATCCACTACCATCTGGAAACGGCGGAGCCGGCCTTACTTCTTCTAACCGAGACATAGGTGTCCTCTCCGGCTGATGCTTCATATCTCTCTTTCCCGGGGTACAAATTAGAACACTCTTTTGTGCCCCGGGCCTGAGTTTGCCTGTATGTCAGAGAGGACATCCATTTTCGATGCCTCGGCAGCCTTGAAGGTACGTACCTGTCCATCTTATGGCTGTGCGTAGACAGCGATGACCATCTCCGCGTATACAGATACCTCTATAGGTCCCATAGCGGTAATGCCGAAACAGACCGACTCATCGACCACGTCCAGAGGGCTACAGACTCCGTGCTACAACAGATCCCATCCGCAGATATCGTCATACTTGGAGATTTTAACGCCCACCACGCTGAATGGCTTGGTTCTCTATTAACCGATCATGTGGGTAGATCTGTTTATGACTTTGCTTTGGCATATGGTCTGACACAACTGGTTACCTCACCTACGCGGATCCCATATGTGGAAAATCATGTACCATCCCTGTTGGACCTTCTGCTCACCTCTCATCCGGACGGATATCAGGTCGCTGTCGATGCCCCTCTTGGCTCCTTGGACCATTGTCTAATCCGGAGTACGGTGCCACTCACGCACTCATCGCGGTTGCGTACTGCAGGTTGCCGCCGAGTGCTCCATGCAGGATGTCCTGTTTACCCAACGCTCAGTGCGCAGAGCACTCCACTCCCTGGACGTCAACAAGTCGAGTGGGCCGGATGGCGTCCCTCCTATTGTGCTAAAGACGTGTGCTCCGGAGTTGGCACCGGTTTTAACGCGTCTTTTCCGGTACTCCTACTCCTTTGGCGTAGTCCAAAAATCATGGAAGACAGCCCTGGTGCACCCTATCCCTAAAAAGGTAACCTTTCTGATCCGTCCAACTATAGGCCTTTTTTTTTTTTTTTGC